ACTGAAAATACAGTATCAGCTTCCCCCTCTTTTGGAAATTTGCTTATCTCTGCAATTATTTCGTCCTAAACCAAATCAATACTCAAACACAAAAGCTTGGAAGCAATTTTATTGCACTTGTAACTGTCATTTACTAAACTGTTAGCAAGAATAGCGTAGAGTTTGGAACAATTGCAAATAATTTCAAGAATATTTATTATTCCCTTTGTCACAGGTAAGTTGACAAATGAGACTTTTAATGGAAGTCTACAAAAGATGAAAATAACAGAAGACAATGGTTGGATTAAATATATTCATGGAAATCTTTAACGAATGTTTCATTTTCTGATGCCAAGTAAATGAAATAATTTTCTTTGAGTAAATAAACAAGATAGATAAAGATCAAAATAATTATATATTCTTATCTAGCGCAAAGAGAAGTTTGTTCATTCTAGAAATTGAATATGTTTTCTTTGAATATATATTCCTTTTATGCATTTCAAACATTTTTAGAAAACTGCTAGTTGTATAAACGTAGCATTAAAAACTATAATTATTTTCAAATAATGCAATGTGTCAAATAATATCAATTTAGAGAGTGGAATCCAGAAAAGATTTAGATTATTGATCTTACCCATTTAGTTGCTGTTAGGCCTATTTAAATACTCCGTTACAACTAAGTATTAAGAATTTCGTATATTTGGAAATAATTTTAGTGAAATTGTAGTATCTTTTGTGTAATGGAGCAGGAAAAGGTCTGAAGAGACGAAGCTCTGCCGGCAAATTAAGATTACAGGGGCAAGCCTATTTAACATTGAGTAAGCGGCTATCTCGCTAATGTGGGAGATATCGCCAAGCTGACCACGGTTTTGACAACTAATTTGTTTCGCGAAATTTGGCGAGAAATCACCAAAAGTCTCCAAATTTGACTACCATTTGAAGACATTTAGGTCCAGTTTCCCTGTATAACTGGTACTGTAATTGATACTGTAAATAAATAACTGATATTGATTCCTAAATGTAAATGTAACCGTACCCGATCCTTATATGTAACTTTAACAGTATATGCCTTCCAGTTATTTCGATAAATGGAAGGTACTAGAGAATTTTCAGTGGCTTAGAGGAAACAATATAGCCGGAAGAGAACATCGGCTTTCAGTTTTTCAGTTCAGAGTCGACTCTGGAGTAGCGAGATATCTCCGTTAGAGCTTCGCTCTTTAGATGCTTTTTGCATTGTCTTGTGTTTAACGTTCTTAGTAGTTTGAAGTGTAATTACTGATTGGGCTCTGTGACACTGAGGAGAGATATACGAGTATTTTTTGTAGAAGGTTCCAGAGCTGTCAAAAATTTCTTTCGGTAAAACACATTTTATCGAGCTATCATCGGTTCTGTGGTCATTCAGTTCATTACGAAAACGTACGCACGAGTCATTCAGTTCATTACGAAAACGTACAGCTGTACGTAATCGCTACAGCTTTGTTAACTAGCAAAAAGAAATAAAATATTCGAAGGGAAAACAAAATCTATTACAGTAAGAGAGATATTTTAAGACCTTATCTGTTATCAATTAATACTATTAAAATAATTCAATTCTTGAACAAACTGAAAATACCCGATGTGAACACCACATGGCTTCCTTGTACAGCCTATTAACATATACATATATTTTGCTGCATTTCATTTAAACCAATTTCCCTGAATTTCGTTATAAATATGTATCTCATATAATCAATTCAGTTCTCAATACGCGCCAAGCCAAAAATACATAAAAACTCATAACATCTTTATTACAAATTGTAAAATGAAAAAAATATCCTAAAACAACAAATATAATTAAAAACAGTTGAGAAAAACAATTTTTAAAATCAAAGTAAGAATTTCTCTGCCAAGACAAGCAATTCAGACAACGGTCAGAAATACAAAGTTTTCGGTGCACAAAACTGAAAGTTAACTTTCGATTCAACTCGGCAGAAAGACACTGAAATTGGTGCATAAAGAGTTTCAAATAACTACCTCAAACTATAATAAACGAATAACCTCCACGTTAGGCCTAGCACCACTTATACTTTTAAATTGTTGATAATTCTATAACTATTCCATACAGATTAACTAGATACATAAAAATCTTAAGGGGACTCATACACCTTAAACCCCTCATGATCTTCGAATATGTGACTGTTGCAAGAATTGGGATATTTTATTTATTTTAAAAGGAATTACTTCCAACTTTTTACAGCTAACTACGTAATATAGCTGCTTTGGAAAATAGTAACCAGAAAGTTTGTGTTGCCACAAATATTTTTGTAATTTAATCCGCTTTGTGACAAAATACTTCGTCATGTTTCCGCCTTGCGCGCATGATGTTATAAAAATGACTAATAGTATAAACTTGAAATTTGATGGAATTCTTTATATGGGCACTATTTTCTAACAGAACCAAAAATCTGATGAATATTTAAATATTAAAAAATTTATGCACGAAAACATTACACATTTTTTTAATAAAATACTTTTTTTAAATTCAACTCCAAATAAAATAAAAGTTTAACATGAAATTCTTAGAATTTTTGGTTCACAGTAGTTTCCAAATGTTATAAAAGCTATATATTAAATATGGAATTAAATTATGCAACAGACTGTATGAAAATGTGCGCGCAAGGTGAAAACATGACGAAACATTTTGTCATAAAGCGGATTAAATTATAAAAAATATTTGTGGCAACACAAAACTTCTGAATACGATTTCAGAAAGCAGCTGTATTATGTAGTCAGCTGTAAAAAGATGTAAGTAATTGCTTATAAAATAAATAAGTTATCCCAATTCTTGCAACAGTCACATATTGGAAGATGTTATGGGTTTTAAGGTGTATAAGTCCCCTTAATCGAAACATAAGGAAAACATAACCAAATCTCTTTTTTAAAAAAATGGATAGTTTACCAACATACGTATAAGAATAAAAACCAGAGTTCACCAAACAGGGGTAAGGTAGACAAACAGATAGATAGATAGATAGATATACACACAATATACATTTTGTGCGGATGATTGCAACAGGAAAGGGAAGTACGCAAGAAGATGTTATAGCTCTTCCATATACAAAGTATTAACGTTCTACGGCTAATCGCTTTTCAGTTATGAGAGATAAAACAGTATGTAAGTATGCAGAGCTTTTGAGTTATGAGAGATAAAAGAGTATGTAAGTATGCAGAGACGTCATGAAACAAATTCCTTCTGGATGTATTTTAAATCTATTTTGAAATCCATTTTGCAAAAGAGCCCTTTATTCTGCATGTGCCTTCAGATGTCACCCAAATATTCCTTAAAATCGATTCTAGGGCCGTCAGAATGGATATTTTCTTCGAAATATGATGACCGAAATTTTTCGCGATTACAATATTTCCTTTACTTGGTACAAGGAAGTAAAAATATACAAAAATAAAAAAGACGTATAATGAGTGTCATAAAAATGTAGGAAATGAACATTTCTTTTGTGAAGCAAACTGTTGAACGTAATATAGTAATGAATATAATATGAAATATGAATGAATATGATATATATCTGCAAATATAGTAATGAATTATAATGCAAATTAATTTAAATAAAATAATTAACATATCTCCAAAGAAGATGGAAACCAGCAAACATTTTTATTCCATTTTTAGTTTTGAGATAAAAAAAAAAAATAAGGTAAGTATGCTTCTCCGCGAGACGATTTGTCTTCGAGCAAACTAATAAGGGATTGATAAGGGACCTGATGGCATTACTAATGCCTAGGTGACAATTTTATCGTGTAAGTATTGTGCACATTTTGTGTATCAATTTTATCTGTGTAAGCTGTGTGCATGATGTTTTTATCAATTTTATCTGTGTAAGCTGTGCGCATGATGTTTTTTGTCTAAGAATAACGAAACTCTATGGATGAAGCTTGTTACTTTTAATCAAAATCAGTAAATTTTGAGGTGTATTATTTTACCACTTTAGGTGGATTAAGTAAAATGGTATACGTAACAGTAATTAGAAATACTTATATCTAACTTAACAGTACACATAAAAATATTGTAATTTAATAGTCATTTAAGTAACAGAAGAAAAAAAAGGGGATGAAGCAAGAAAGAAAGTACTCATAAAAACGATAAAACGTTTTTAAAATCATATATATATATATATATATTGTATAAAGCAAAATAAAGTTACAGAGAATATGTAAATAGCTTCAAAGCATTATGTCAAAGATTTTTTAAACTGCAATTTTCCTATTCGATTTACAAAATTAAATCAGCATAAATATTTAACATGTTTGCACTTTTCATAAATTTTTATCATTAAGCATTCTTTTAAAAAGCATTTAAACAAACAAAATAAAATAAAATAAAAACCTCGTTCACTGTTTTTTGAGATCTGAAAAAAAAAATAATCCATATTTCAAAATACATTGGAAGGAATCATATGTTTCTTTAATTTATTAATAAAAGTGCTCTTAGCGAAATTAAATGAATATTGAATCAAAGAGCTAATGCAAAGATGTCAGTTTTGGGAAATAAATAATAAATTCGGTTTTTTTATATTAGGCCGAAAAAAAGGGCAGCAGATTTATTTTCGTCTTCAAATTAAATGTGTAGAATATATCGGTCGAAGATACATCTTTCGATAACCGATTATAACTGGAAACTTTATTCCATTTTTTAAATGAATTTACATGTATGTATAAAATATTTACTTAATTCAAAGCATTGAATAATTTTTCGTAAAATATTCATTGTAGTTTTCTAGTATCCTTTATCGAAAACGCATTTTTTGCCTTTATCGTTAATGTATTCCGAATACGCTACGTATGAACTAATACAAAAAATGCCATTCTTTGCATCCTTTCTCTTTATTTTCAAATAATTATTCGTTTGATGTAGTGATGTTATTTTATTTTGAAGTAATAAAGCGAATGTTACCATTATTAACAAAACGCTGACAAAAAATGCCAAAGACCATAAAACTTTGGAAAATTATTTCAATTAAATGTAGTACCCATTTTTTCAGCTGATGTTATTAACCTGTTTTACTGAGTTGTTTCAAAATATCTGGTGTATCGTCTCCTCGCCTTGGCAAATGTTGCAGCTGCTCGTAGCATAAGATCGTTACTTTATTTCCTACACCATCTCGCCCTTCATCACTTTTCGGCCATCCAACATCAGCCCCTGTTAGGCAATGTTATTTTTCTGAACAGTTGCAGGATCCGGACGATACACGAAAGCCGCCCCGATGTCAGGACCCTGCTTTCACCTCTCACCTGCCAGTGAGCAAAAAATAAGATCAATTTAAGAAACATCAATTATTTACGAAAATATTAGTTAACGGAATGATATAAGAGCAATTAACACATTGTTTAATTATTTTGAATATTAATTTATTTTAGTAATATAGTTAATTGATATGAATGAAAATTTATGCAGTTTTATTATAATTACGCAAAAGGTTTATGTTGTCATATTCTCCATAGCTGGTTCAGTAACAATTTAAGTTTTCGTTTGAAATACGCTTCTGGAGTTAAGTAATTCTACTTAGCATCTTCTCTGCGCTTAGTACCGCCAAGATGATTTTTCACCCAGGGGTGACACGGCATGGGGATTTCAGCGTCATCCCAGGGAAGATAAACAAAATATCCACCATACTACAACCTAGGACTTGAATGACAGACTAGACAGCAAAGGCAATTTGAACTGATATATCTTTAAAAGAATGTGTTATAATTCTCAACATTATGAGAATTACAAAAAGGTATGTCCAATGCATTAGAACAACAGCATTAGAAGTTATACACTAGTGTGCAAAAATTAAGCAACAAATTTATTTTTCAACATACTAAAAATTATTTTCTTTTTGCTTTCCGTGTACCTTCGTGGTGTCACTGGAAGCACGCTTGACGTGTATTCCAGAGGTCCGGAGTTCGAATCCCAAAAATAATACTGCGGTTTATTCAGTTTCTTGACATCGAAAGAATTCTAAATTATTCTACAACACATTCATGAAATTGTTAACAAGTGATTTTTGCGATCTGCATGAGAAAAAACCAACTCTGTAGAAAGAGGATGCATATGCAAATACCAGAATCATTATATCAGAGAGCACGCTCAGGGAAGGCAATATGTGAAGAGTTAGCGTGTGCAGTGCAAGGCAACTTGAAAACGAAGAAAGGAAAGGGCATTTCCAGGCATTCTTCTGCAAGTAAATGTGCGATTTTACGGGCAGTATGGCTAGAAGAAAACATCAGGATGCCTTTTACTCAGGCTTAGATGATAAGCAAGCTTGAGAAGAAACGTATGGAAGACTTTAGACCAAGACTTTGGAAGTGTATCGCCCGAGATTTTGGAACTGATTAAAGTTGTTTCACGAGCTTGGAAAATATTCCAGATCCCAGGTACAACTACAAGAAGAATGATGGGACAGATGGTGTGAAAAATGCACCTGTAAGAAAGGTGATGGTGACTGGCCAAAGGAGCCAACGGGGACTGATGGCCGATATGTCGCTCTGCAGGCGAAAAGAGATCGAAATTCGACAGCCTTCCTAAGCAGCTGCGCCACTCGGATCTCGACAGATGTCGCTTGCTGTACTACGAACAGATTTCATAAATGTAGCCTATTCGCCCGCCATCCTGAAAGTTGCATATTGACAGCAACACATCGGCAAACCCGTTTTCGGTGGTGAAGAGAATACAAAGACTGGGCACTTGATAAATGGATCAACATCCTCTTTACTTAGATTATTATCCTCTTTACTTATACTAACATCCTCTTTGCCGATTAGAGTCGTTTCAGACGGCCTTAGTTGAGTGAACGAAAGAAAAAGGTGCCAGAGAAAAGTGGAGACACGCTTTCCTCCCACTAACATCAGGGAGAGAGATCGCTGGGGTGGTTCTGGCATGCTTGTATGGAAAAGCATTACGATGAACGGGCTGACAAATCTCAACATTTTCTACAGAAGTTCAGTTGCAGAAGTCTCCAACGCGCATCTTTCCTGAGGCGCCATTGATATCGACTTTGATTTTGTGGGTGACAATGCACGACTGCACAGAAATAAAGCTATTGAAGAGCTCCTGAAAAGTGAAGTTATCCACAGAATGTATTGGCTAGAGTGCTCCTCTGATCTGAATCCCTTTGAACATGTGTGAGATTCTTTAGGGAGATGCCTGCCGGTATTATGTTACCCTTCGGCGAACACCAGACAACTGAACAAAATGCCGCTTGAAGAATGGAAACTTTTATCCCACGAAGTATTATCTAATCTAATGTTGAGTATCGACAAACGGAACCACTGCAGTTAAGGGAGTTCATATCCCTTACTAGGCGTTTTATTTTGTAGATTCGTTAGGTTATTTTGAAACAGGAGAGAAGAAAAATGAGCAATTCGAACTTCTCGAATATGCGCCAATCGTGCTATCTTTAGACCCCGAAGGCGAGTTTTCGAGAACTAAATATTTAGAAAAGTTCGTAAACCACATTTGTCGTTATTATTGCTTATAATAAATGCCAAATTTCAGATAGCTCCAATATATGAATTCACTTATATCTTCGGAAATGTCGAATAAAAAACTCTAGTTTTTTGCAAATATGCCAAAAATGCATCTACTTTATGGTAATGGCATACATTTTACAGGTTATTACACAAAACGTTTTATGAAAAATTTATAAAAATTGCTGAAAAATGTAAATTTTAAAAATAAAGGCATCAGAAAATATCTGCGAATTTTATTTGTACCGAACCAAAATTTCCAACTGTGAAAGAAGGAACAAAGTAAGTTTAATAAAAAAGATATATTGATAAATATATTCTAAATTCAATTAACACTGAAAAGCTAAAATTTTGAGAACTAATTTTTTAAAAACTATTCGTGCGATTTTTATAATACTTGGCATTTTCTCACAAAGTGAGTGCTAGAATTGAAATATGGAAAAAGCTGGTATGTCATTTCAGAAAAAGTCGAATTTTTTGTCTAATACCTATGTTAGAGCAGTAGCATATATATATATCATAAGTTGCCCTTTCGAAAGATTAAAAACTCCAGTTAAATTTCGCCAGTTGGCCCAATAGAACTGGAGGTAAAGAAAGAACTGTCCCTTTTTTGTGCAAGATATGCATTTGCATAAACTCTTAATGCAAAAATAGTTGAAATTTTTTATGAAAATGGTCATTTAGATTAAGATTCCTTATACCATTCAACGGCCAACAAGGCTTAAAGAGGAAAATAGTTTTTTTCTGAAATATAATAAACATGTTTTTGCAAGAGCTGCCGTCTTAAATACATCTGAAGTAAAATATATTTGCTTATAATTTGCATGATTATATGATTTACTTACAAAAATTATAATACCACCCAGCTAAATTTATTAAAACTAAATTTATTCTATAGAGATTTGCAATAGTTTGGCAAAACGAGACTATCAAATCAGACTGAAAATTCTTCTAAAGATATTTCCACCTTTGAAAGACATACGTATTATAATTTTCTTGATATTTTGACGAATCAAACATTTTAAACTGAATGCCCTTTTCACTGCGTTACCATCGCACATTCATATTTATGATAGGGGAATAGATTTCAGACTTTTGTCGAAACTTCTCTAAAAGATGCTTCGAACTTTGAAGTACATAGACCTGATATCTATTCAAATGTAACACACGTTTCATATTTTATAAAGTACATTTCGTGGAGGGTAAAGCGTACCAATCCCTAAGGTTTATCTCCCCAAAGCTCAAAAACTTCCTGTAATATACTCAAATATTTTTACATGTCCCGAGAATTTGGCTTTCCAGTCCATTTACCTTTTCTTTCCTTTTTAGAATTGTATCACCTCCATGAATAACATTGAAGAGTTTTTCAATGAACTGTCGCGATTTTTTTACAGTCTGGTCTCTTAAGAACTCTTCGCTGTCCCGCTAAAATAACAATCGATTTTCTTTACATTTTGCAAGCGGTAAATACTAAATTCTGACAGAATGGTTCAACTTTTCTTTGTAAAGTGTTAACAATCCGAAAGAAGATGTTCTTGTAAGTAAAATCAGTATTACTTTGATATCTTCTCTTCAGACTTAAATTTATAGAACTGACATTTTTGAAACTTTAGAATCGATGCTGCTTATTATCAGCATCGGATAAAATCAACACAGTGTACACTGCATTGAATAAACTTTGAGCGTAGAATTGTCACTGACCTATCATCAAGATGTAAAAAAAGAAATTTTGAAAATAATTTCGCAATGAATAATATGATTATTATTTTCATAGATTCGTCACAGTTTTAAGCTCGACACTGTTACTCAATCAACATTGGTATAGCGTAGATAAAGATTAATTAGAAATGGAGCATTATCAAGAGAAGGCGAATTTGTTAAATTATTATTTTTACTGTACCTGAGCAAAATCGATACCGATTCAGTTTATAAATTGGATTTTGAGCTGCTGTCTCGATTCATGTGCCGGCAGGGAGGCGATCTGTTCTACGCACAGTCGATCTTTTGTATCGTGCCTTCGCCTTCCACTCCATTAGTGCTCGCTCAAGAACACTATTAGTGCTCGCGAAAAGTGAGATCAATTAGGGCTCGAGAAGAATACAATTTATTTATTAACTGTTTTCCACTATAGAGTTTTTAAAATTTCAAATAAAGTCCTGTAGAATGGAAAATTATAACGGGTTACAGAAACTACTGTTGCTCATTTCGTTCAGTTTTCAATACAGAATGTCAAAATTTGCGGACTGTTAGAATAAATTTATATAAACTATAAGGTTGTATTTTATTTATACTTAACCTAAAACATTAAATAACTATTAAGTTGCATTTAAACTATGAGGTTGCTAAATAACTAAAAGCTTACATTTAAAATCAAAGGTTATAAGATATTTCTCCCGCCTTCTTAATATGCCTTCGTGGTGTAGTGATCAGCACGCTCGACGCGTATTTGAGAGGTCCGTGGCTCGAGTCCCGGAGAGGGCACTGCTCATTTTTCATGTCTCTTGCTTCTAAATAACCTAATGTGTCTACAAATAAAGGCGTAGTTACTAAATAACTACAGGTTTACATTTAAACTAAACTAATTAACCTTTTTTAATGGCCGGGCGTTTTATTTAATACCCAAGTGAGGTTTATATATTTATTTTTAACTAATAGTTCATTTTAAGTTAGCACTTTCCTATTACTCTATTTTCACCCACGATTTTTGTGCCAGAATGTAAATGAGATAGCGAGCGTTTATTCATATTAAAGTAGAAAGGAGTGCTATTTAAGCAAG